CATTTAAATCATTTGGCAACTTAACTTATCTTGACAAGATTCTTCATAATCTAAATTCTCAGGATTAAGGTTGAATATTTAGGAGTAAAATTCTTAAGAGGAGGAAATAAATGTAAAAAACAGTTTCTCGTAGGGTTTTTTTATTTCCTTCTTTTTAAAATAGCTAAATTGAGACCATATTTCTTAAAATGTATTATATTGTCTTTATGCAATGCCCAAGGGAAAATAATTTCAGATAAAAAGCCCTCTTCAATATCTATCTCAATAGCTCAGCACATTACTAAACTAAAATTTAAAAGCTTCAAATTATCACTTGATATTTATTTTAAATTAAAATAAAGTTAATTTTAAAAATGTCCCACACTTTAAGAAACACAGAGGATGTATCAAGTTCTAACACAGTGCTAAAATTCTGTGCCATTCTACCTATAACATTTGAAATAACATTTAAAGACCTGTGAGTGTATCATTTTTATTTTTTTTATGTTACATTTTTATTTTTCTTTCTTAAGTTTATACTTTTTACAACTATCTTTCAACTTTTCATTTTGCTGACTTCTCTCTTCTATTTAAAAAAATATACCCAATATTTTCTATGCTACCTGATATCCACATCTATTACAATTCATTTTCATTCCTGCCTCAGTAATGTTGAAACAACTTATTTCAGCTTCTAACGAAATGCATACACACATCATACAGTGTTTAATTGCTCCAAAAATTTCCCAACTGTAAGGTGACAATGTGATTTTACTTTCACTGTTTTAGGTAAAAGTTAGATGGCTTTTCATTAACTCAGAGACTTAAAAACTAAAAATTTCATTCAATCAAATTTTGATTTATTATAAACAATGTCAGATAGCTTTTTTGATTTATTCTTAAAATTGATTGAATGCATTGAGTATTTTACCACTTGGATAAAAAATGCCAGGGTCAAAAGGCTACTACTAATGGATGGAAATTTAGAATCAATTAAAGGAGGTAGAATGTTTCTACATGGAATATCTTCCAAAATTCAAAGTACAGTTTGAAAAGATATAGTCTATTATCTTCATGTTTGCATCTTTATTCATATGTGCTTTACTTTTGGAGTTTGCAAACCTGAGTTTAAATCCAATCCACCTCTTAAACTGGCTGTATAAATTACTAGCTGTGCAAGTTAATTAACCTTTATAAGACTTCAGTTTTTCTCACTTGTAAATTGGGATGATATCTACCTTGTAAAAATGTCAGGTTCAAATGAGATCATCTATATAAGCATAATAATCTAGTATTTGTTAATAACTAAAGCGATTAGAGTAATACTAATAAGCTAAAACCAAATACATCAAGATTCATGGCATAGGAAAAAAATCAAATATTTTCCATAGACAAAGGCATGGACCACTTATCTAACATATCTAGCCTTTAAAAATTTTTTCTTTGGGATTTTAAACTCAAGGATACCAAGTTTTCTATTCCCTATGTGAGATTTACAAATGCCCATAAAGTTCTGTTTTCTTCTATTAAATATAGACTTTTCTAACAAATATTAATATATATCTCTATATAATTGGAGAAAAAGTGAAGGTTGTACACAAAAGGTGATGGTATGCATAACAGTAACATATTATCAGGAGAAGGAGATTACAATAATTTCACGGTGAGTATTGTTGGTTTTGTCGATAGGCATCTATTCCTTATTTTTGTGTTGGGAAGGGGGAGAAACCTAGTTATACTTTGGATGAACCATTCAAACCTAAGTCAGCCCAGGTGCTTAAAGGAAAATGGGCTCTACCCATTTAAAGCTACATCAGTCATAAAGCTAAATCAATCAATGCATTCCACTGGCTTAGATAGAATAATTTGTTTAGTTCAAGCTAATGAAAACCATGAAACTCAGTTCTTGGACTTTTATCCAACTATTCTTCTATATACCTGAGTACCATAATGACATCAGCACAAGAATGTCAAGGATCTATCTGAGAACACATATAGCCTGAAATCAGTCAACTCAAAGGAGACAAACAGATATACATCTAGACAAAGGGGCAGGATTTGTGATCTAAATCAAGATCCCTTCACCTGAAGCCAATTTATCCTCTGCTTATTAGAGTTCAACTATTCTGTATTTATTTATTTATCTGGCTAACAGGGCTGGGGTTGTGGCTCAAGGGTAGAGCGCACCCCTAGCACGAGTGAGGCCCTGGGTTCGATCCTCAGCACCACATAAAAATAAATAAATGAAATAAAAGTATTAAAAAAGAATACTAACATATTTACATGTTGTTTGCATGATAATGTATTATCCTAGTGTTTTCCAAAGTGTAACTCATGTACATAGATGAACATGAAAAGGAAATATTCTTAGTAATGGATTTCTTTTAATTCATATAAAAATGCATAAATCTGGCAAATAACTGCATTATTTCATAGATACCATTACTTAATAATGAAACTAAAATTTTTTAAATGAGTTGGCAGTCAACCTAAAAATAATGTTATTAGTAATATACAGATATCAAGAATAAAGGTGATAATTAAATAATGGGGAAACTGCATTGTGCAGAAAGGAAGGAGAACCATGTATACCAACTCAGCCTTCTCCATGCAGATGTTCTCTTATAATTACTAGGTATATTGAAGTAAATAATAAATTAAAGTGAGACATGTAGTGAACAGGACTTAGTCCTAAAAGCAGAGAATGGGAGTGCTAAGGTAGAAGAAGGTGAAAGGGAGGAATACAGATATAAAGCTATATAAATTATTTCTGATTCTAAGAGTCCTCTCTGTATCACTGAATCTCTATTTTGTAATTTGTTATAAGCTTCCTTGAAAGGGCTCTCAAATATGAAAACAGAGAAAAAAAACTTTCTTGCCTCATTTCTTCTGACCTGTTACAGCAGAAGATAGCCAGCTGCAGGGTACCTAGAAAACAGTCTTGGAGGGACTCAGCTTAGTGCCTAGCAATTTGGAGCCTTATTTCAGTACACAGCTTGGTTTCTGACCACTGACCAAGCCTCTGATAGAAAGGTCAACACTTTCATCTCATGCTCTGACCTCAGGGAATATTCACTAACTATTTTTGAACAATTTACTCTTTTAGATATGAACACAGCATCTTTAGCATTAGGCAAACAGGAATAGAAACAGGAGACCAATTTTATTAAGAATAAATTTGTCACAACTTATGTGTAGGAGTTGACTCAAAATTTAAGACTTAAGAACTGGACTCTTTTTTTTAGTTTGAAAGTCATAAAATGCCAGAAGAACTTGTTTATGTATTCTG